AGGATTGAGACGGATAATGAAGGGGACCCACCGCGTACCCAAAGGGTGCTTTTTTCCCCATAATAGCGCAACAGTATGTCTGTAATAGGCCAGTGGGAAGTTAATTAGAACCCGTGTGCATTGTTATCAAAGGTAATGACAGGCAGTGGATTGTGATGGAGGGGTCCCTTGTGCTCCCGAAGTCTACAGCTGCAGGGCCATCTGATCTCGTACTCTCTTACCGTTCGTGTCGTCTTTCCAGTCGTTCTTTTATCGCTCATTCTGTCCTTACTTCATCGTTATCTCTGTCTTCTATCCATGGTTAAGGGCACCTTGGTGTAGGCTATTAATACTGCATTTAGCGTGTGTGAGAGAGTGAAATGAATAAGTACAATTGAAATTACATAGATTTTTTTCTCCTGCTCTACAAATCACATATCTGTGTTCTCCTGTTGAGGAAAAAAAACTATGAATCTATGACATCTGGTGACTCTGAAGGCCACAGTATGAGATATATATAATTTTCATCAAAGCGTTCATCGACCCGTCGTGCCCTATGGGTGTAGGCATTGTTGTTCTGGAAGAGATCTCAGCCATTGGCCTAGAAATGATTTATTATAAGACACAAGTGATCAGTGAGAGTTACTTTGCATTGATTTGTAGTGACACTTCATTTTGTTGCATGGTTGGAGAACTTGTTTCTATACATTTAATTACATTGCTTGATTTTAAAGCTTTAAGTAGTAATGTTGTCATTCTGTAACCACCTAGTTTAGATTATCTTCTAAAGCACCCTCCCTATCTAACTTAAGCTCATTTCAGAGCTGCACTGATTAACATTACTCTGATGGCAACTGAGCATGTCAGCTTCATGTCTGAATGACCGTCTGAGTCAATCTTACTGGGTCGGACGTGGAAACATTTCCTTATCAACATGGTACAAGCCACCGCCACATTCACAGAAGGACAAGAATAATTTGAGTTGGGTTAAGTGATTTAGGGAAGAATTATTCCACATTTAGTCTACAGTATTGGTCTAAAAGCATCACAGAGGGCACAAAAGACACAAAACAGAAAGAAAACACATTTCTCATTCAGTTTGCACAACTACTTCACATCCAGGTAACAGGAAAGGTTAATGTGACTTACCAGTACCAATACGTGTAATTCAGGTTTTTGACAGAAGGTTAACAGGAGCTGAAGTTTGGTTTGTTGCTTTCCATTGTTTGTCGGAGGAGATCCTCTCCTTTCTCCTGACTTTATTAAATACCTTCAGCATCAGAAAGCAACTGCATCTACATGAGCGTCTCCAAGGAGAGAGAGCTGAGCGCATTTATCCACAAGCAAAAGCAGTAGCTTCATTAATTACTTAAGATTGCAAATTGTCCCTGAAGTGGAAACAGGTTCAATCAGGGTCTAACGTCAGGCAACACTGTACTTTTCTTCACATCAGACAGGTGAGCTGTCACACACACAGTCACAGTTTATCAACTGCAATTAAATCATTTCCTACAGCTGCTGTCCTCAGGTTCTCTCAGTGAAGGAGTTGGTGGATTGTCATGGACAGAACTTTCAGAGTTTATAAAAATCATAAATAAACTCATTGATTTGGGCAGTTTGATAATCTTGCTATTGGCATAATTATTAATCTTTTGCTAAATAGTGTGTTGTTATCCATTATACCATTACATGTATGACAAATATTGTGTGCATACCAGGATTCTCTCCATCACTGTGGTGGGTTTATTTGAATAAAGCTATAGAGAACACAAACCTAAAAGTGAGCAATGTCTTTAATGACAGAATGTTGTCACTTTGATAGATTGATGACGACACTAATGTCATGTATCTGAAAAGAGCTTTTAAAACATCAACATATGATCATGGGGTATTTTAGCATATTGCAAGCAAACAAACAAGCATTGATTGGGAAAATGTTGTTTTATTCATTTAACCCTATTCAAGACTTTCATGTTGTCATACGTAGAAGGTCTTTTGGGGTCCATTGGACTACAAGAAAAAATATGTGCAAAATATTTGTTGGTATCCATCATAGACTTTTACACTATCTTTTAAAAACATGTTGACAAGTTGACATACTTTTGGTTCCATATGCATGACAAATGTCCCTCTTTTAATATTGAATAAAAAATCTTCAAAGTAAAAAAAACAATACCTGTCACCTAAACCAAATGGCCTGGGGTCCAAAAGACCCTAAAAGTCCTGAACAAGGTTAAAAGTACCAGCAAATGACACTTAGACACTTAGACGTCCATTTAGATGCCTGCATGGTGCTTTTCAATACCAATGCTAACAGAACACCACCCATCCATGTCTAGTAAATTACAGCACAAGTGTTTAGTCTGTTTGTCTGGAAGCATCTTAATGCTCATTAAAGGTGCAATATGCAAGATTTTAAACAGGAATACAAGCCTAATATAGTAGCACCAGCTGTTGGCTATGGAATTATCAAGTGAAGTAATGGCGTCCTTAGCAGAGTGAAGTCTCAGTCCCTCTGTCTGTGTTTCAAAGTTTCTCTGTTTCTATTTTTTAACAGCCAGTTCAGTCACACAAGCACTTTAATGCATGTGGACCCTCCCATTGAAACTGTTGACCCATTCTGGGCTGCTAAACAGACTGAGACAGCCCCCAGTATTGCACTGGCAAAGCCAAAATGCAAACATTCAGTTCTTGCTCATAAAAAAATAAACATTTAAAAAATAAGTATTTCTATTTGATTTACCTAATTTATGTACATTCGTTTAATTTCAGCTCATTGAGTATTTGTGAGTCTGTTTCCATACACCCGTGGGTGGACGAGGTCTGAACTCGAGCAGATTCAGTCCATTCACGCATCTGTTCTGGTCCAATGAACTGTTGAAACCGACACATATGGAGTGGAATAGGCATGAGCTGATATCAGGAGAGACAAGTGAAGTAAAGTTTATTATCCGTTTATTTTACAATGCAGGAATGGGCTAATGGTTGTGGCTGGATTATTTTTTTGTTGCCATGTACACAACCTTTCTGGTTATAAGTGAAACTGAGTGAATCAGTGGCCTTTTCAGGACGATTTTTGCTGAACCCTTTACCTGTGTGTTAGTGATAAAATGTGATAATGTGTGTACTCATGCAAACATGCTAACAGCAACAAGTTCATATGCCATGTCTGCAAACTTAAAGGATGGAACTACAAAACTTGAAATAAGCTCTTGGCTAAGAAAAGTGTTTGTTAAATGAAGGATTATCAGCGCTTTGGGACTTGATCATTTGGTCACATGTAATTCCAGATGATGATGACTAAACCACTGCGCAAACAACTTGAGGGCACAACGTACTCCTTGATGCTCGCTCTTATCTTGTTTTTAATGCTAGGCGTGAAAAACGAGCGAACGGAAAATTAGCATGTTTTAGCATTGTAGAAACCTACATGTTAATGGCATGACAGGACGTGACTGCTCGTCAGTGTTTGAAGTAGGCGTAAGAACGTATGTCTGATTTATTTGGTTTGAAATGCAAAGCAGCCTGTAGATCTGACTTCACGTACGCGCAAACACACATACTTCTCAAACACACAAATACACTCATAGATACATTGCACTCTGTGACCTTTTCAGTTTCAGTTTGGATGGTGAGCACTTTAAGTATACGTGACAGGCATAACGAATGAGACAAATGGGACATCAGAGGAGACTGATGCTGCTCAGGGAGTGCAGAGTATGCACAGAAAGAATAAGGACAGCCTCTAGACACAGCAGTCACAATCATAGAAGTCCCTCATAGTACAGCTCTGTGCCGTTCTAACTTAGCAATTGCAGTTGTAGAAAGAAGTATATGAAAATGTACAATAACCGTAGAATCTCAAGCAGACAATTCCCAGCACCTCACGGTAAACACAAAATCTAATTCCTTGTCGGTATTAGATCAGGAGTTCAGCAAATATGTTTCATTCTGCAGTCTACATTCCACAAGGTCTGCCCGCGCACATAAACTGAATTCCTCTCATGCCTCCGAAACAGCTCTGACCCATCATGGCCTGGACTCTACAGGACTCTGAAGGTGTCCTATCAGACCAAGATGTTAGCAGCAGATCCTTTAAATCCCGGATGTTGCCAGGTTTGGTCCCCGTGGATCAGACTTCCACCACAGACGCTAGATAGGATTGAGATCTGGGGACTTTAAAGGCCGAGTGAAAACCTTGAACCCTTCAAGGTGTCATTTCTATCATGTCTGTCATCTTCTTTAAACCATTCCTGAAGAATTTTTGTAGTGCGGCTGAGCACATTATCCTATCAAAGAGGCCCCTGCCATCAGGGAGCACTGCTGCCTTGCAATGTGTAGGTAGGTGGTACATGTCATGTTGTTAGGACTCAAGGTTTATTGCCCAGAGCATCACACTGCTGTCTCTCCTAGGACTACTTAAGATAACTTTTCTTTGATAACCACTGCACTCACGCTCAAGGCCTGCTGTTGTAGAGATGCTCAGACCAAATCGTCCTGCCATTACAATTTAGCCTTTGTCAGAGTCGTTCAGATCTTTACACTGCCCCATTTTTCCTGCTTCCAACACATCAACTTCAAGAACTGACTGTTCATTTACTGTCTAACATACCCCACCGCTTGACAGGTGCCATAGTAACTAGATAATCAATGTTGTTCACTTCACCTGTCAGTGGTTCTTATGCTGTGCCTTATCATTGGTATAGCAGGTTTCATCGGTAGAAACCTGACTTTAGACCACATAAAAGAATACGGTGTGTGCTTTGGACCTGAAACCCCCGCAGACTTTGTGCTGTGAGTACATCACAGTGTTCCGTCTGAGAAGACAAGCCTCGTGTTTTTCATTCTCAGTATGTGTTTCAGCCCACATCGATTTGTTCACTTATTGTGTTACAGTCCACAGTTTGCCAACAATTTCTTCTTTCATCCTTCCTCTCTCTTAAAGAGTTCTTTTTTTCTGATGTAACAGAGAGGCAAAAGCAGATAAACTAACAATTGTCTGTGTGTTTGTCTCTCTGCAGAGGGCTTGGCTGTAGGGGTCGGTTTCGGAGCCATAGGAAAGACTCCATCTGCTACCTTCGAGAGTGCCAGGTAAGACTAATATCAGGGCAGGCAAGCGTACACACAGAACACATCTGGATTTATCCAAAACACCATCTTTCTAAACTTTGAAGTGAGAAATGAATACCGGCAGACTTGTCTGTGGATTTTGTTATTGACTAAAAATTTCTATATATTTTAGCTCGAGACAAAATTATGGATTCCAGGACTGTCTCACCCGCAAGTATAAAAACATTTTAAATATGAATTTGAAATGGTTTGGTTTAGGTTCAGTGTAAAGATGGTTCTGATTGGTTTCGTGTGTTAAAGGTTACTGTAAGATTATGGTCAGTTTGTCCATCTGTGTCTATAACTGGGCTGTGTTGCATGCTGCTGACATCTAGTGGTAACATCGATGTACTGTAGGTACAGATTGAACTCCTTGCAGAGCTTTACAGCAACAGATCATGCACTCTCTATGGACGCATTTGATAAAAGAGAATGAGGAAAGCAGGGATAAATTATACTGAGACTACTTTTATAAACACAGGGTCTTGACATGTTATAGTAATTTGAAATGAATGGTTTTAGCAACAAACCTCGTCCAGTCCACCAGCTGCCTGACTGGAGGCAATGACTGCCTAATTTCCCATTATGCTGTTAGAAGGCAAATGATGAAGTGAGTGTGTTCACTATCGCCATGTTTGGCTTCCCTAATTGTGAAGAAATCTAATTAATCTGGTTTCTAAATAGGTCTGTTATCGCAGCGTTTTCTGACTCTTTATCAGGAAAGTCAGAGTAAGTTTATAAATTCTAGATCATCTCTGTTAATTAGCTTGCTGCTGTTGTTGGGATGATCTATCACTGTCAAGAAGTCCCCAAACTAACCCTTTGTTCTGTCACTTATTGCTTTTCGGCACCATGAAACCAGTAACTTGTTTGCCAAACAGTTTGAGATCCAAGAGGTTAAAATGTATTTTTTGTGATATGGAGGCGTTTTAATGGAAACTGATCGATAGCTGCTCTAATAATGATGGAAATGTTCAGGTTTCACAGGTGGCCACAAAATTGTCAGTCTGAGTGGCAAAAGAATATGATGAAGGCATTACTTACTGATTCCTGTACCTGCTTTTAGTGTATTTTATCTTTAAGCCTTTAATTGTTATGTTTTGTTTGTGTATTGATTTATTTATTTATTTTATTTCATTTTATTTTTTTAATGGATGTATTCCTTTTATTGTATTTTCTATTCTGTGCTGCCTCTTGGCCAGGTCGTTATTGGAAATGAGAATTTGTTCTCAGTTAACCCACCTGGTTAAATAAAGGAAAAATAAAAAAAATAAATAAAAGAGCTGGTGTTGTTCTGGTAAAACTGGAAGGTGGGCTAGAGTAAGATTATTAAGAAAGCAAACATGCAAGCAGCTCTTTAAAGCTGCGAACATCAATGTGCTAGCAATGACCAGACCTGCATGTTCAGCAGGTATAATATTTAAAGGT